CAGTAGCCTCAAAATGAGCTGCAAAGTGTTCCCCATTCTGTTTTCTGTAAGAGTTTGCATAGAATTGGAATGAATTCTTTATATATTTGGTGTAATTCTCCAGTGAAACCATCTGTGTTCAGAAGCTCTTAATTAAAAAATTTATTTCTTTAATGGTCATAGGATGATTCAGGTTATCTGTTTCATCTTGCCTGAATTTTGGTAACTTATGATTTTCAAGGTATTTCAAGACCATTAGGGAAGTGGAAGTTGCCCTGATTGTCTTCTGCAAGAGACCAGCTTGGGTATTCTGAGGGTGATATTTATGGTATTTGCTTAATACTCTTTAATGGCTGCAGGAGCCTTTTTGAGAACCCCTGTTTTATTCCTGATGTTGGTTTGTGTCCTCTCTGTTTTTATTTATGTCTTAAAATTAGTTTTGTTGATTCTATTCAGATAAGCAGCTTTTTGTTTCATTGATTTTCTGTTTTTCTGTTTTCAATTTTCTTGACTTCTCTGCCCTTTATTATTTCTGTTCTTCTGCTTGTTTGGGGCTTAGTTTGTTCTTTTTCAAATTTGTTAGATTATTGGTTTATCTTTTTGAAATTTCTTTTTTTCTTTTCTATTTTTTTTTTTTTTTTTTTTTTTTTTTTTTTTTTTTTTTTTTTTTTTTTTTTNTTGAGATAGAGTCTCACTCTGTTACCAGGCTAGAGTGCAGTGGTACAGTCTCCATCTCCCAGGTTTAAGCGTTTCTCCTGCCTCAGCCTCCCAAGTAGCTGGGACTACAGGTGCACACCACCACGCCCAGTTAATTTTTGTATTTTTAGTAGAGACAGGGTTTTACCACATTGGCCAGGATGGACTCGATCTCTTGACCTCATGATCCACCCCCTTCGGTCTCCCAAAGTGCTGGGGTTACAGCTATGAGCCACTGCCCCGGCATATCTTTTCTCATTTCTAATGTGAGTATTTAGTGCTTAAATTTCCTTTCTAGCACTGTTGAGCTGCACTCCACAAATGTTCATATGTTGTATTTTCATTCATATTTCCTTTGGGCCTTCTTTTTGGCCCATGCATTATTTGTAAGTATGTAGTTTTAATTATCGAGTATTTAGAGAGTTTTCTCTTTTTCTATTATAGATTTCTAGCTGGACTACATTATGTTGTGAGAACATATTCTTATGACTTGAAGGATTTTAGATTTGCTGTGATTTCTTTTATTGCCCTGAATGTACTTCGTCTTGGTAGATGTTCTGTTGGCTTTAAAAATGTGTGTATTTTCCTATTGGGGAGTGGGGTTTTGTACAGATGTCAGATTTTGCTGGTTGACTGTTCAGATCTTTTGTAAATCCTTGCTCCTTTTCTGCTTAGTTTCACTCTGTCACTTAGGCTAGAGTGTGCAGTGGCCCAAACATGGCTCACTGCAGCCTTGACCTCCTAGGTTCAAGCAGTTCCCCTGCCTTAACCTCCCAAGTAGCTGGGGCTATAGGTGTGTGCTGCCACACCTGGCTAAATTCAACATTTTTTGGAGAGATGAGTCCTTGCTGTGTTGCCCAGGCTCGAACTCCTGGCCTCAAGCGATCCTTCTGTCTTGGCCTCCCAGAGTGCTAGGATTACAGGTTGGAGCCACTGCATCCGGCCTCTGCCTAGTTTTAACAGTCGCTGAGAGGAGGATGTTGGTGGGTTAATCCTATTGTCACTATGCACTTGTTATGATCACTTCCTTTTCACCCCATTGGTGAAGGAGGGGTCCCTGCCCTAAAGTATAGGAGATGGTTGAACACAACACCTGGTGTGAATGGATGAAATTGACAGCAGTGTTTTAGTCACATATACCCACAGCTTAGAGGAGGACACTGCATGCCACCCAGGGTCAGATGGGCACTGTACTCAGTAGTGGAGTGAGGGCTGGGGTTGGGGGAGGCAGGCAGGCTTCATAGTAACAGGAGCGCACAATGACCATTGGTTCCCAAGGGGTTTGCCATTCGCTTGTTTGAATAAATTCATGGGCTGGCAAACAGGTGAAGTGAAACTTGTTAGGCTGAGGTGCAGCTGCTTTGGCTGATAAAAGAACTAGCCTGGTGGGGAGCCTTCCTGCTGGGAAGTGTTTGCTCTGGATGTTACAATATGAGTATTGTAATATAGCAGTCTGCTGGTACCAGTAATTACTTCTTAAAAGTCTGGAAACCCATCTTCCATTTAGGTCTCGTTACCTTTTCTGCTTTTATAAATTACCGGCTTGAATATTAAGTGCTGGTATAGCTGAAAATATGGCATTTCCCTCTTGCCTCCATGATTTTAGAGGAGAAATACACTGACATTTGAGTTGGCATGTCCCTACAGGCATTCTGCCATTTTTGGTCGTTGTTTTTAGTTTTGAAAGTTTAATTGGTGTTGCTTTCTTTGGTATACTTTGAGATTTGCTCAGCTTCTTGAATCTGTAAGTTTCTGTCTTTCACCAAATGTGGGAAGCATCAGGCATTAGTTCTCTACGTGCTCTCGCAGCTCTGATCTCCTGTGAGACTCAGATAACATAAATGCGGGGTCTTTTGTTATTGTCACACAGGTCCATGCAGCTTTTGTTCATTTGTTTTCAGGTTATTGTCTCTCTATTGTTTAGACTGGGTGAATTCTGCTGATCAGGCTTTATGTTCTCTGATTCTCTCCTGTGTCATCTCCACTTTTACTCAGTAGAGCCCATCCTGAGAGATTTATTTTATAATTTATGTTACTGTATTTTATATTTCTAATTTCCATTTGATTCTTCTTCATTCTCTTTGCTGAAGCTTTCAGTTTTTTGTTTGTTGCCATGGGATTTGTTGTTTCTTGTTGAAGCATTTTTATACTGGCTGTTAAAAGCGATGAGTCAGATGGTTCCAGCATCTGACTCATTTCAGTGTTGGTGTCTTCAGTTGTCCCTTCACATTAAAATTATTATTTTCTCAGTGGTATGACAGGTGATATGCTCTCGATTCCTGCACATTTTGGTTATTCTGCTGGAAGGCCTATGTAATTTTTTTATTTTTGCAGGCAGTTCTCCTGTTTAGGTTTAGTGTGTAGGTCCTGGTCTACTTTATGGGCTGTGATTCTAATGACAATTTAATTTCAGAGACTTCATGGTGCTATTTTGGTCTGTTTGGCTTATCTGGTATCACTGGGACTCTCCCACCGGTCCCTGCTAGTGCCCACCTGAGGGAACAGGGGACCTGCCCCAGGCTGGGCCACCTGCTGCAGCTAGGTGGGTGGGGGATGCTGGTTGTCTTGGTGTGTGGAGCTGGTTTTCTTGTTGTGTGGAAGATCTCCTTTGACCTGGGGGGATTGAACCTGCCTGCGTTGCCTTCTATTGCTAGGTTGGGAGTTGGGAAACACTGGGCCTGGGTCACCCTCCTGTTGGATGGGGTCCAGGGAAACACCTGGCCACTATGCATTCCCCAGTGCTAGAATCCCACGGCAGCCTTTTTCTGTCCACCTTTCAGAATTCTCCATTGATCATCTCTTGTCTGTTTCTAGAGTTGAGGTTATGCTTCTTAGTCAGGAGGGAATAAGGTGTTGTCTTCTCTAGACCAGAAGTCCTTAGTGGTGGTTCTGGGTTGTAACTGCTAAAGGAAGAATTGGCATATTGGTGATATCATGTCTTTATTTTCAAATAAGGGCATATCATTATTCCATAGATAATATTTACAACAGCTACTTCCTTGAGTTGAAGAGTGTGGTTAAGGCAAGGAAAGTACTTAACGCAGTACCTGGTGTGGAGAGCACTTATGAGTGTTGATGGTGATGCTATTCCTTTTGTCCTTTGGTAGCTTATTAAAGCTGTTCTTCTTTTTTAAAAAACTAAAGTTCTGGCATATTTGTTAGGTTTATTCCTATTTTATCTTTTTTTGCTTTTGTTACAAATAGGAGCTTCCTATCTGTTATATCTTCTACCTGGTTCTTTGGCTCTTATGTGAAAATGTTTTAGTAGCCTTTAAAATGTTGCCTCCCAAATGAGTTTTAACTTGTGTATTTCTTTTATTTCTTTTCTTTTTTTTTGAGACAGGATCTCACTCTCACCCAGGCTGAAGTTCAGTGATGCAATTATGACTCACTGCAAACTCCGCCTCCCAGGCTCCCAAAGTACTGAGTTTATAGGCATGAGCCACTGCACCCAGCCTTGCTTGTCAATTTCTTTTAAGAGTGGGACCTATAATTGAGCTCAGAGCTCCAAAAACAAATGAAGAAATGAATGAGTGAATGAGCTCTTCCCATGGATTTGGTGTGGTTTGGGGCTGTACTCTTGATCTAAATGCTATATTTTATATAATCTAAGATTTCCCCTAGGTGTGTTACACAATTGTGTCATGTTTAATTTGCACTGAGACTCTGGTATCAGCATGGGGCTTTTCTATTCACTCTTTGAACTATTCTTTTGGGGGGACACAGACCTGTGTCTCTCATCAAGAGCATCCATTGGCCGGGCCCAGTCGCTCACGCCTGTAATCCCAGCACTTTGGGAGGCCAAGGCGGGTGGTTTATGAGGTCAGGAGTTCGAGACCAGCCTGGCCAATATGGTGAAATCCCATCTCCACTAAAAATACAAAAATTAGCCAGTCCCAGTGGTGGGCATCTGTAATCCCAGCTACTTGGAGGCTGAGGCAGGAGAATTGCTTGAACCCGAGAGGTGGAGATTACAATGAGCTGAGATTGTGCCACTGTACTCCATCCTGGGTGACAGATCAAGACGCCACATCAAAACAAAAACAAAAAGAATGTCCGTTATCTATACTGGAAAAACTGAGATGTGCATTTTGACATGAAGTGTGGAAATGCAGCTCAGGTCCATTTAGTTTACCTAAACAGATGACGAAATACTAACTGTTTTATGAAGGATTCCCGAGTGCAGAGTTCTGCCTGTGTCTGTAATGATGGGAACAGTGAGAATGAGGCTTGGAACATGGAGCACACTGTGGGCCTGTAGTGGGTGGGACCAGTGGCACATGCATGCCTGGCTCACAGAGCAGCCTTTGGGTCTTCTTTTCCAGAGGAGCTCTACGGTGACTTTGAAGACTTGGAAACAGGGGACGTGCACAAGGGAAAATCAGGCCCCATTACTCAGGTATGACTTTGCTGTGGCTGGCTGTTCTTGGTCATTGTGTTCTGAGAGAGGCCTACATTGAGAAATACAAATCTGACTTGTGATGTGTGATGATTGCAGACTGGATAAACGGATTCCTTCCTAAAAGGTCAGGATGTGCAGACCAGAGAGAAGCTTTCTTGTTTACTTGTTAAGTTTCGGATGACACGTACTACTGCTTCTTGCCCGTCATTTGCCAAGTCCGCTGTGATTTTTCATTCATGGAAGTCTTAGCTCCTTAGGGTTACATTCCACCATTGCCATCATTGTCCTCTTCTTAAATTTAATTGTCCTCTTCTTTAAATTTAAATTTAAAAGAACAAAGTCCCTGTTCTCCCTAATATTTCTTTAGAACAGGGTCTGGGGGCATCTGGGTGAGGGACACATCTGTTATTTTTATTCCAGTTTGTGTTCCCAGCCAGCTTAAGGAATGAAAGCTATTTGTAATGCAGATGTAATCATTTCCTGTAGCAGTACCAAGTTATTTTGTTTTGTTTTGTTGATAACAGATTTTTGTTAAAATTTTTGTTCAAATAAAACTTTAAAAAATCTAATGTTTAAAGAAAAGACCTTCATAAATGTATACAAAATGTCTTCTGGGAATTTAAGAATGAAGATATAGAGAAAGAAGTTAAGGAAGAAATTGACCCCAATGAAGAGGAAAGTGCCAAGAAAAAGCATTTGGATAAGAAGAGAAAATTGAAGGAGATGTTTGATGCAGAATATGATGAAGGAGAAAGCACATATTTTGATGATCTTAAAGGAGAAATGCAGAAACAAGCACAGGTGAGAAACCTCAGTTTCTCTCAGCCATCAAGACTATCATAGCACAGGAATCTGACTTCGTTTGGGTCTCTGCTTCCTATCCTGCTTCTCTGCCTTTCATTTGTACTCTGGGTAGAGATAACGTGAGTGTGTTTATTCATGCAGTGAGCTCATTGTTTTTGCAGTCAGAAGATCACCAGAAAAATATCCATACCTATTTTGTATCAAGAATTAGGAAACAGAAATGATTGAGACATGGTATCTGCTTTCACAGTGTAGTGATCTGAGACAGTGTTTGCTTTAGTGCAAGCCTTGGCTGCCTATTCCTATCGCTGCTCCCTGATTTTAATGGCAGGCGATCAGTGGCCCTTGTGGCTTATGGATGCACCAGAGCTCCCAGGAGGAGTGCTCTGAAAACTCATCCTGGTCAAAGTTCAGAAGGACATGTGGAGTGTAAGGTCAGATGTGGAGATAAAGGGAGATGGTGTGGCCCTCCTGCCTGGGGGTGCTGAGCAGGCTGTTGGAGGTGGTGATCTCATTCTGAAGGAGACAGACACAAATGTGTGTACAGTTGATGGCGAGCATCTGAGTTGCGCCTTGTTAGTGGGGCCAGGAGTTCGTCTGTAAGCTGGAACAGATTAGGTATACAATTTGTGAAAGGGAGTTGAAAGGCTCTGCTCAACCTAGGTCTTCATCTAATCAAAGAACTGTCTCCTGATTAGGTATTAGCTTAGTGCTGTGTTGACCTTTGACAGACATGAATAAGCTAACTCTGAAGTCTTTGCTTCACACCATTTACAATTTAAAATGACCTAGAGCCTGTGGGCCATTGTAAAAGACTGAATTTTTCACTCTGAATGGGAGTCCTTGGAGGGTTTTGAGCACAGGAGAGACATTCAGGTAATCAGATCACTCTGCCAAGAGATCGTCCGGGTGGCACAAACCAGAGGGTTGGCAGTGGAGGTGAGACAAAGAGTCAAACCGGATATACTTTATTTGGAAGCTGGGTCAGTAGGATTTCCTGGTGGACTGATGTGGGTTATGTGAGAGGAAATGAGGGTGACAACTGGAAGTTCCTGGAAGGGTGGATTATAAGTTAGACAGGAAACCCTATACAGATGCAGCTTTGGGACGATGATGTTTGGGTCGGCTGGGTGTCATGCAGACAAGCGGAGTGTCAGGTCTAGAGAGAGAGGACTGGCTAGGGACTTAGATGAACAGCTCTCAGCATGTAGATGCCACATAAAGCTGTGAGGTGACCAGGGAGTGAGTGCAGAGTGAGTGGGAGGAGCAGGACTGGCTTGGGTGAGAGGGAGTGACTGCAGTGGTGAGGCTTGAGCAGTGCCCAGGAGGGAGAAGCAGTGTCAGCATGCAGGCACAGAAGAGGCCAGCTGTACACTGAGGTGACACATTGTTCAGATCCCACTGCCATGGTAACTGTGGTCAAGGCAGAGTTGGCCACTGGAGGAGGGGCGTGGAGGCCTTCAGGAATCTTGGCAAGCATCACTTTTCATGGATGTGGGAGAATGGAGCAGAGGAACTAGAGGCTGTGACTGCAGAAAACTTTTGTAGGGTTTTGCTGCGGAGAGAAGCAGAGAAATGGAGTAGTTGTTGGTGGAAGAAGTAGAATCAAAAGGCTTTGTGAAAAGAGAAATAACAGAGAAGTGCCATTGTAATACAGTCCAGGAAGAGTGGATGGTGACTAGTGAGCAAATGATGTGTGGCCCTGAGTGGAGGCATGGACAGATCATCTGTGCCTGAGCTGCCTGTAGAACTCTCTGTTATCATGGAGATGCACATCTCTGCTTCCCAATATTGTAACCCTAGCCACAGGTTGATAAGGACCACTTCCAGTGTGACTAGTGTGACTGAGGAACTGCATTTTAAATATTATGTAATTGTAATTAATTTTAATTTAAATAGCCACACATAGCTCTCCTATGGGCCAGCTCGGAGCTCTGGTAAGGCTGGATACAGGAGGAAACCCTGGTAGGGGGTAGACTGTGGAGGTTCTTTTGGGTTTGGATGAATCAGCAAACAGCCGTCAGCTGAGTGAAGGGGAGGGAGGAGTTGGGTGTTTGAAGACAGGAGAAAAGTGTGAAAGAATCGCTTGTAGAGAGGGAAAAAAGTTATGGACTGGGGATGTTTCCATTGTTTGGGCACACAGGGCTCCACAGAGTTGTCTGCATTTGTTGTCCCTTGGAGCAGCAGGGAAGAAAACAGTTGACACAGTCTGAGCAGACTGTAGAGGTAAAATGTGTAGTAGTTGTTTGTTTGTTTGTTTTTTAGATGGACTCTTGCTTTGTTGCCCAGGCTGGAGTGCAATGGCATGATCTTAGCTCACTGCAACTTCTGTCTCCTGGGTTCAAGCGATTCTCTCACCTCTGCCTCCTAAGTAGCTGGGAATACAGGCACATACAACCACACCCAGCTAATTTTTGTATTTTTAGTAGAGATAGGGTTTCACTATGTTAGCCAGTCTGGTCTCAAACTCCTGACCTCAAGTGATCCACTCACCTCTGCCTCCCAAAGTGCTGAGATTATAGGCGTCAGCCACTGTGCCCAGCCAAATGTTTAGTATTTTTAATAGGTTAAAGCCTACATAATTCTGTCCACAGTTCTTTACTTAGAAGCTGAGAATCTGTTCATGTTAATCTTATGTTTATTACAGATAATGGCATATGGGTTTTCTTTTTTCCTGTCATGTATAGCTGAACCGTGCAGAATTTGAGGATCAAGATGATGAAGCCAGAGTTCAGTATGAGGGTTTTCGACCTGGGATGTACATCCGCGTTGAGATTGAAAATGTTCCCTGCGAATTTGTGCAGAACTTTGACCCCCATTACCCCATTATCCTGGGTGGCTTGGGCAACAGTGAGGGTAATGTTGGATGCGTGCAGGTGGGTCCCTTTGCTGCGTATTTGGTGCCTGAGGCTCTGTGGATTTTCGCTCCATCAGTCATCTTACCCTTTCATCCCCTCAGATGCGTCTGAAGAAACATCGCTGGTATAAGAAAATCCTCAAGTCCCGAGATCCAATTATATTTTCTGTAGGGTGGAGGAGGTTTCAGACCATCCCACTCTATTATATTGAAGACCACAATGGAAGACAAAGGCTTCTAAAGTACACGCCACAGCACATGCATTGCGGAGCAACCTTTTGGGGTAAAATATGGTTACAATAATTTGCTTGTTGCCGAGATTAAACCTTACAGTCTGCATCATTACAGCTTTGTGCTTTTCCTTTCATAAAATTCCACTCCTAAGATTTTCTCTTTTCTGGGAGAGGGAAGGTAGTTTGGAGTATATAGGTAAATTTGTATCCAGATGTAAATGTTCATATCCAATATGTAAACCTAGAATCTAAAATTAATCATTTGCTATATTTCTTTTTTTCCTTTTCCTTTAAGGCCCTGTCACTCCACAGGGAACTGGTTTCTTGGCAATACAGTCTGTCAGTGGCACAATGGTAACTATTTTGTATAATTTATTTTACAGATTGGTTTGAGAAATATATCCTGATTGTGGGTTATTATGTACGTGAGACTTTAAGTTGAAAATTACTCATTTTTTGTAATATAAAGTAAATTTCCCTTTGCTTTTAATCTTCCTACATCCTTTTCAGTAGGGTGTGGGAGTATAGGAGGAGAGATGGAAGGATTATGGTACTGAAGACATTTTCTATTTATGTGCATTTTCTGGATGTATTTATCTAAGCAAGTACTTAAGCAGTGCTCACCATGTGCTGAGCACTATATGAGGTTGTGAAGAGCCATCAGAGACCAGCCAGACATGAGGCTCCCTGCAGCCATGCTGGAGTAGCAGTCTGTTCATTCCATTTTCATTTGAACAGTCAGGCAGGGCAAGGTTTATTGGTCCTATTTAATAGAGAAGAAAGCAAAATAATGAGCAGATGGAATCTGCCCTGAAGATCCAAAGTTTAATTTTCCAAACATTGCAACTGCATTTTTCTTTTCCATTTCATTCCAAATAGATTATTATAGTGAAATTATGTTTCTCTGAAATCAGTCTCAGGAAAGTACTCAAGTAACCCTTTTTTGTTGTTGTTGTTTTGTTTTTTTGAGACTGAGTCTCACTCTGTTGTCTAAGCCGGAGTACAGTGGTGTGATCTCGGCTGACCACAACCTCCATCTCCTGGGTTGAAGCAACTCTCCTGACTCAGCCTTCCAAGTAGCTGGGATTACAGGTGCACGCTACCATGCCCAGCTAATTTTTGTATTTTAGTAGAAATGGGGTTTTGCCATATTTTGGCCAGGCTGGTCTTGAACTCCTGACCTCTGGTGATCCACCCACCTCAGCCTCCCAAAAAGTGTTGGGATTACAGGCATGAGCCATCACACCCAGTCTTAAGTCATCCTTGTTAGTTTGGTTTACCAATTTTAAAGTTTTGCATTGTTTTTATCAAACCACTGGGTTGCAAGTTCAGATATTCTCTCTTGTTTTTCTTAGCTATTGTAAATAATATTCACTTTGGTAATTTATTGTGTCACATAGAATTGAAGTTTTTCTCTTGCTGATATTATTCCTATTTTCAAATTTTGGGGTTCCTGTTAGCCTGATTTCCGGATAGCTGCCACAGGAGTTGTCCTTGATCTGGATAAATCCGTAAAAATTGTGAAGAAATTAAAGCTAACTGGTTTTCCATATAAAATTTTCAAGAACACTTCATTTATTAAGGTCTGTATATCTAAATATTCTCATATTTATAAATGTCCACATTGTTTGAGAAAAGGAACGAAATACTAAAATATGGGCCTCATGTTGTTAGAAAAGTATTTGAAATTTTTTATCAGCCTCGTGTCTTCTTTGTTTGCTCTCTATATTCTGTGTTACTTATGCTCAAAAAAGCAGTAGTAACAGCTATTTAGGAATTGAGGCTGTTACTCATGACTTCCATGTGAGACTGTTATAGAACTCATATTGAAAATATGTCACTTTATCCACTGGGTTTTATTTCCTACTTTTTGGATTTGTGTTAAGAAAGGGGAAAAAATATCACAAGTTTGTCTAACCATTCAGTAGAAAAATAGACAAAGCATTTGCAGACAACTTGGCAAGGGTACAGAGAAATGGATGTACAGTATCTGGGGAGGGTAGTTTGAGCAGCATTTATTGATAATTTCCTTAGTGGGGATGTTTCCATTAAAAACAACAGTTAGGAAGATCATAAAATGTTCTTGCAACATAAAGTAATAATACCACTGGCATTTATCTTACTGTTTTCATGTTCTAAGTGCATGCACCTGAGTAAAAGGGTCTGGGCTGCGGTCCAGTCTGAGAGATGTCAGCAAAGGCTGCCTAGGCCAGTTCAGTTCAGTAAATCCCTCTTTGATCTTCTCTTCCACACAGACAGCAGTGATGAGCATGCCCATAAACCCACATGATTATTCTGGGAAAAATGAAAGAGTTGTATTATTTTTGAGGTAGTAATTCCACTTTCAGGGGCAAGTACAGTTTGATTATTTTATCACCTGTCAGTGCATCGTTTTTGTTCTTTAACCAGTGATGTGTGTTTCAGATAAGAAGTAAGCATAAAGTATATGAGCATATAAGTATATAAAGCATAAAGTGTAAAGTGTGTGTGTATGTTTTTATCTTGCTATACCTGTAGGGAATGTTTAATTCTGCCTTGGAAGTGGCCAAATTTGAAGGTGCTATGATTCGAACTGTCAGTGGGATAAGGGGGCAGATCAAGAAAGCGCTCCGGGCTCCAGAAGGAGCTTTCCGGGCCAGCTTTGAGGATAAGCTGCTGATGAGTGGTGAGTGTCTAGTGTGGTGTTCAGGGAAGGGTGTTACCGTTCATGCCTGACTTCTAGCCAGTGTGACCAGAGGCTAGAGTCAGGTCTCCAGAGATTCGAGCAGCTCCAGTATTAGATCTCCCAGTTGTATGCAGTGTGCCCATGCACCTTGTGTCTGCAGCCCCCTGGTCACACCCAGTAACAGTTCTGTGATCTATTAGAGTAGTTTTCTTAACGAGCTTTCTCTTCACATACTTTGCCACCAGGTAAAGAAGTTAAAGTGCAGGTTTTGTTCTTTGTTTCTTTGCAATATGGATGTGAATCTTCTTTTGAAAATGTTAAAGTATAGTACCTCTCTTTTCAGATATTGTCTTCATGCGAACTTGGTATCCAGTTTCAATCCCAGCCCTCTATAACCCAGTAACATCTTTGTTGAAACCAGTGGGTGAAAAAGACACCTGGTCAGGAATGCGGACCACAGGTCAACTCAGGCTCGCCCACGGCATCAGACTAAAGGCGAACAAGGACTCTCTGTATAAGGTAGCAGTTGCGTGTGTGTTACTGCAGATGCAGCCTGTGCTCTGTAGACAGGGAGTCACATAGACACTTTTCTATAATGTCTTACATGCTTTGAATGTCCAAGTATAAAGTCTAACATTGAATTTGATTGAACAGTTGTATATTCATGGAATATTTTGGAACAGAACACCAAAAAAGTGGTAATAGTGTTTCTTTTTGGATTGAAGACAAACTTTTCTTTTTTAAAATAAATGTTATAGCCCAGTACGGTGGCTCATGCCTGTAATCCCAGCACTTTGGGAGGCTGAGGCGGGTGGATCATGAGGTCAGGAGATCTAGACCATCCTGGCTAACACAGTGAATCCTCGTCTCTACTAAAAATACAAAAAATATTAGCCAGGTGTGGTGGCACGCGCCTTAGTCCCAGCTATTCGGGAGGCTGAGGCAGGAGAATTGCTTGAACCTGGGAGGCAGTGGTTGCAGTGAGCCGAGATCATGCTGTTGCACTCCGGCCTGGGCAACAAGAGCAAAACACCATCTCAAAAAAAGAAAAATTATTTTGTATATTTGAGGTTGACCACATGATCTTAAAAGATACATATAGATAGTAAACTGGTTACTATAGTGAAGCAAATTAATGTGTCTGCCATCTCACATAGTTACATTTTGTTGTGTGACAGGAACAGCTAAAATCTACTTATTTAACAAAAATCCCAAAGACAATACATTTTTATTGACTATAGCCCTCATGATGTACATTAGATCTCTAACTTGTTCATCCCACATATCTGCTGCTTTGTACCTTTTATTGTACACCTCTCAGTGTCTACTGGTCATTTCTTATTTGGCCCATTTTTTCAACTGGCTCATTTGTCTGCTATTAAGTTGTAAGAGTTCTTTACCAGTTTTTGGAAATTAATACTTTATCAGATATGTGGTTTGCAAATATTTCTTCCAGTCTGTAGATTCCCTTTTCATTTTGCTGGTTGTTTCCTTTGCTGTGCGTAAGCTTTTTAGTTCGGTGCAGTCCTCCTTGTTTCAAATGTTTGCATTTGTAGCCTCGCTTGTGGTGCGAAATCCAAAAAATTATGACTAAGTGCACTGTCAAGAGGCTTTCCTCTTTTGTTCTCTTCTAGGAGTTTTATGGTTTCAGGTCTTATTTGGGTATTTTATCTGTTTTGAGCTGATTTTTGTGTATGGTGTATGATCATGATCCAGTTTTATTCTTTTGCAAGTGAAAATCCAGTTTTCCCAGCACTATTATTGAAGAGACTGTCTTTTTTTCCATTGTGTTGTCTTGTTCGCCCTTGTCAAACAATAGTTAACAGGATATGTTTAGATTTATTTCAGAGGTCTCTGTTCTGTTCCATTGGTCTTGTTTGTTTGTTTGTTTGTTTGTTTGTTTTTATGCCAGTACCATACTGTTTTGTTAACTATAGTTTTGTAATACAATTTTAAATCAGGAGGTGTGATGGATTCAACTTTTTCTTTCACAGTAATCTGTTGGCTGTTTGGGGTTTTCTGTGGTTCCATATGAGCTTCAGGATTGTTTGTTTTGGGGTTTGTGTGTGTGTGTGTGTTTGTGTGTTGTTTTTGTTTTTTTGAGATGAAGTGTCACTCTGTCACCCAAGCTGGAATGCAATGGCATGATCTCGACTCACTGCAATCTCAGTCTCCCAAGTAGCTGGGACTACAGGCACATGCCACCATGCTCAGCCAAGTTTTGTATTTTCAGTAGACATGGGGTTTCACTATGTTGTCCAGGCTAGTCTCCAACTCCTGACCTCGTGATCTGCCTGCCTCGGCCTTCCATCATGCTGGGATTATAGACGTGAGCCAGGATTGGTTTTTTTTTTTTTTTTTCTGTTCTCTGAAGAATGTCATCAGAACTTTGATGAGGATTGTGTTAAATCTGTATATTTGCTTTGGGTAGTGTGAATATTTTAACAATGTTAGCTCTTCTGATCCATAAACATAGGACATCTTTCCGTTTGTTCATGTCTAAATTTCTTTCATCAATGTTTTATGATTTTCAAGTGCACATATCTTTCACCTTCTTGGTTAAATTTATTCCTGAGTTTTTGTTTTTCTTTGATCCTATTATAAATAAGGTTGTTTTCTTGATTTCTTTGTCAGCTAGGTTTCTGTTGAAGCAATGTGGGTTTTTATGGAAGTTTGAATGTTTCAATAAGCTTTTTATTGAAATGTTAGTGTACATACAGAAGAGTGCCCAAATCCTAAGTGTACAGCTAGATGAACTGTGTGGCACACCAAGCTGCCACACCCTGGACCAAACAGTAGCCTCGCCCTGTGGCCTCTCCCAGGCACTCTCATCCTGCCCCCCAGAATAGCCGCTTTCCCAGTTCCTGACGTGGATTTGTTCTGCCTGGTTTTGACTTTTATAAAATACAGCACATTCTATTGAGCCTAGCTTCTTTGATTCAGTATTATAGCACACATCCATGTTCTTGTCTATGGCAGACATTCATTTATTGTCATTGTTGAGTTCCATTATATGATTGTGTCACCATTTATCCATTGGTGGGTAAAATGGTTTTCCATTTTTGGTCGTCGTCCCATGGCCCTGAACACTAAGGTCTGGATATGGGACTTGCAGGTGTTCAGGGGCACACACACTTCTGCTGGAGGCTTCCTGGGTGGGGTGGGAGCTTCAGGGCACCTATGCTCTGCTTCAGTGCTGAGGTTTTTGTGTTGTGTTCTGGGGGTGCAGTGGCTTGACCTCCACCACCACCAGCAGCTTAAAGAGTTCCTGCTGTTGCACATGCTTGCTGACAGCTGGCTTACTCAGGTTTTTTTTTTATTTTATTTTAGGTTTTCAGTGCCTGTCTGGACTTCTGTTTTTATTTAGATGTTGGTTTCTTAGAACTTTCATTATTCTCCTCAAAGCTTAACAATGCATTTGAAAAGATTTGTTCTTTTTGTGGAATATTCAGTTTTGTAATAAGAGGGTTGTTCAAGGCATTAGTCTGCCACTCTGCTAGAAACAGAAGTCTCCTAGGCTTTTATTTTATATAAAATAGTTAATGAAATTTTGAACTCACTTACATGAATTTTTATTAAAATATACTTTGGTGCTCCTTGTTCATTCTACTCTTTTGTAAGAAGTAGGATTTCTCTGAATTCTTGAATTTGAAAACAATTTGGGTTCCTAAACAGAGAATATGGAAGATTGTTAAGATGATGTCTTTAATAATAAATTTCAAGACATAGGAGAAACTATTTCTGTATAGTTGACTTTAATAAAAGCCTAGGGCAAAACTTTCAATTTATTAACAGTGTTTATGAGGCAGTTAAGAATTTGGGTCAGCTCGATTAAACAGAAGTTAAGATTACCTTGAAAATTCAGTAGAGTATTTTGCCTTCATCTGTCATTTGAGTCTCCCTTCTTTCAGCCAGCCTTCCATCAGAAATAGAATAAAGTTAAATTTCTTAATTAGAATCACGCATCAAGACACTTTGGCTGCTGATTGAAGGAAGAACTGTCCTTAAATCCAGAGTAGGCGGGCATGGTGGCTCATGCCTGTAATCCCAGCACTTTGGGAGGCCAAGGTGGGTGAATCACCTGAGGTTAGGAGTTCAAGACCAGCCTGACCAACACAGTGAAACCGTATCTCTACTGCAAATGCAAAAATTAGCCGGGCGTGGTGTGGTGTGCCTGTAGTCCCAGCTACTCGGGAGGCTGAGACAGGAGACTCGCTTGAACTCAGGAGGTGAAGGTTGCAGTGAGTCGAGATCATGCCACTGCACTCCAGCCTGGGTGACAGGGTGAGACTCCATC